CCCAAAAAATTTCAACGCCCACTGGGAATTCCCAGCCCATTCCCAGTGGGAATTCTCAGGATAAATCCGCCCCTGCTCAAGGTGAGAATTCCCAAAAATACCAAAATTCCGGGAAAAAAAACCCCCAAAAATTCCCAGAAAAATTTCCCAAAAATCACAAACGGGGACTCCCAAAATCCCCAATTCCCAAAATTCCCAGTGCCCAATGGGATTTCCCAAAAAACCCATTCCCAGTGGGAATTCCCAGGATAAATCCATCCCTGCTCGATGTGAGAATCCCCAAAAATACCAAAATTCCTGGGAAAAAAAACCCCCCAAAAAATTCCCAGAAAAAAAATCCCAAAAAAATTCCCGGAAAAAATTCCTGGAAAAAGTTCCCGGAAAAAAATTCCCAAAAATCACAAATGGAGACTCCCAAAATCCCAAAAAATCCCAAAAATCTCCAACGCCCACTGGGAATTCCCAGCCCATTCCCAGGATAAATCCGTCCCTGCTCGATGTGAGAATTCCCGGAAAAAAAACCCAAAAAAATTCCCAAAAAATCCCAGGTCAGGATTTCCCAGGAATTCCCATTTTGGGGTTGGAATTTCCTGGGAATTCCCAATAATTCCAATTTTTGGGGCTGGGATTTCCCAATAATTCCCATTTTGGGTTTGGAATTTCCTGGGATTTCCCAATAATTCTCATTTTTGGTGTGGGATTTCCCAGGAATTCCCATTTCTGGGCTGGAATTTCCCAGGATTTCCCAATAATTCCCATTTTTCTGTGGGATTTCCCGGGATTTCCCAATAATTCCCATTTTNATTTTTCCCATTTCCTTTTCCCGTTATTTTCCTATTGGTTTTCCCATTTTCCCCATCAATTTTTCCTTTATTTTCCCATCATTTTTTCCCATCATTTTTCTCATTTTCTCCATTCCCATTTTTCCAATTTTCCCCATTATTTTTCCCAGTATTTTCCCATCATTTTTCCCATTTTTTCCCCAATATTTTCCCCATTATTTTCTCCATTGCGTTCCCATTTTCCCAACATTTTTCCCGAATATTTTTCCCTTTTTTTTCCCATCATTTTCCCCCTTCTTTTCCCCATCATTTTTCCCATTTTCTCCATTCCCATTTTTTCAGTTTTTCCCATCATTTTCCCCAGTATTTTTCCCATTTTTTCCCATCATTTTCCCCATTTTTCCCTTTTTTGTCCCATCATTGTTCCTATTTTCTCCATTCCCATTTTTCCAATTCTTCCCGTAATTTTCCCCAATTTTTCTCCAATATTTTCCCCATTTTCCGCAATATTTTCCCCAATATTTTTCCCGTTGTTTTCCCATTAATTTTCCCATTATTCCCAATGTTTTTCTCGTTTTTTTCCCATCATTTTCCCCATTTTTTCCCCAATATTTTCCCCGTTGTTTTTCCATTTTCCCAACATTTTTCCCAAATATTTTCCCCATTATTTTCCCTATTGCTTTCCCATTTTCTCAACATTTTTTCTGAATATTTTTCCCATTTTTTTCCCCATCATTTTTCCAATTTTTCCATTATTTTCCCCCTTATTTTCCCATTATTTTCCCCATCATTTTCCCCCTTATTTCCCCCTTTTCCCCATCATTTTCCCCATTTTCTCCATTCTCATTCTTCCAGTTTTTTCCATTATTTTCTCCATTATTTTTCCCATTTTTTCCCTTAATTTTCCCCATTTTTCCCATTTTTTTCCCATAATTTTCCCCATTTTTCCCATTATTTTCCCCATTATTTTTCCCATCATTTTCCCCCTTTTTCCCCAATATTTTCCCCATTATTTTCCCCATTGTTTTCCCATTTTCCCAACGTTTTTCCCAAATATTTTTCCCTTTTTTTTCCCATCATTTTCCTCATTTTTTTCTCCTTATTTTCCCCATTATTTTCTCCATTGCTTTCCCATTTTCCCACCATTTTTCCAAATATTTTCCCCATCATTTTTCCCATTGTTTTCCCATCATTTTTCCCTTTATTTTCCCCCTCATTTTTCCCATTTTTTCCATTCCCATTTTTCCAATTTTTCCCTTTATTTTTCTCATTAATTTTTCCATTGTTTTCCGATCATTTTCTCCGTTTTTCCCAATATTTTCCCCATCATTTTTCCCATTGTTTTCCCATTATTTTCCCATTATTTTTCCCATTATTTCTCCCATTATTTTCCCCATTTTCCCCATTATTTTTCCCATTTTTCCCATTATTTTTCCCTTTATTTTCTCATTATTTTCCCATTA